GAGGCCGCATAGCACTGCTGAGCCATTCATCACCTGCGGTTACCACAGTCGCGAAGCAGCACAACAGTTCTGACCCACCCGGGTGGTGTCGTGAGGCATAGGCATGGCCTGTGAAGGTCCCTTCCAACCTGATAGTTCCTGTTATTGAGCACATTACACCGTGTTATGCCCTCCTGGTTTGTATCCCTTTCAACAGGTGCTTGCTGAGTCCAGTCCTGCCCGGTACGGCTTCCTGTGGCGCTGGTTTGATGAGATCTATGTCCTTCTGGACGTGCTGCTCCAGCAGCACTACCTGGCCACATGCAGTGCTTCCTTTTCTGAAAACTTCTACAGCTTAAAGAGGATCCCCACAGGAGACAGCAGACAGCAACCTCTGGCCACTGCTGGCCTGCCAAGGAGGCAGCACTGGAAGTCTCTCCTCTTGCTGGTTCTTGTTCCTTACCTGAAGGGAAAGCTGGAGAAACTGGTGTCCACCCTGAGGGAAGAGGATGAGTACTCCATCCACCCTCCCTCGTCGTCCTGGAAGCGCTTTTACAGAGCCTTTCTAGCTGCCTACCCCTTTGTAAACATGACCTGGGAGGGCTGGTTTCTTATCCAGCAACTGTGCTATATCCTGGGGAAGGCTCAGCATCATTCCCCCATGCTGCGCCTGGCTGGGGTTCGCCTGGTCAGACTGACAGCGGAGGATATCCTGGCCCTGGAGAAGAAACTGGGGGGAACCACCTCACATCATACACCCAGGTATGTCAGAACATGGCTTAGCTGCTCCTGAGTGGGTTCTGTGGGTGTGTTAATTTAGAGGCGATGCTGCAAGTGAAACTGAGGATTTCTCCAGAAATTCTTCAAGGTGAAGTTTACCTCTGGCAAAATGTGCTCCAGAGAAGAGTGTGGTGTTAGTGGAAATACGGAAACAAGCAGCAGGGATCAGCTTCACAAGATTTTGTGATCATAAAATTGGGGTCTTTTTTGGCACTTCAGCCTTTACCCTGTTCAGTCTTCACCTGCCCTTTTCTACTAAGGGAAGTAGCAATATTGCTAAAAGGACTGAAACTTAGCTCTTTGATTCCTCTGAGCAGCAGGTAGCCATGACCACACTTAATGTCCTGTAAAATGATGATCTGTGGGTGAAAAGCTCTGTGATCCAGGTCCCCTCAATCCAAACTCTTCCAATTTAGGTTTCTGGGTAAAACAGGGCTTGAAGCTCTCTTAAAATACCAAGAGAAACATCCTAGCAGATGCCTCACTACAAACATGGGATACACTGACTAAGTTAGCGTTAAGAAGCTGTGTAAAGCAGTGACTGACTCCCCGGGTCCTTTCTGCTGTAGTTTCTACATGTAGCAGTAAGTTTCTCCATACCTTCTCTCTGCTGCAGCATTAAAACCCGGGTGCAGTCAGCAGTGAGGAAAGCCCTGGGTGGCATCGCCGTCTCCCTGTCCACTGGGCTGTCGGTCAGCGTGTTCTTCCTCCAGTTCCTGGACTGGTGGTACTCCTCCGAAAACCAGGAGACCATCAAATCTCTGACCTCTCTCCCGACTCCTCCACCCCCCGTGCACCTCGACCCCAGCTCCACTCTCCTGCCCAAGCTGAAGACTGTGTGTCCCCTGTGCCACAAAACCCGCGTCAACGCCACAGCCCTGTCCACGTCCGGCTTTGTCTTCTGCTACCGCTGCGCGTACGGCTACGTGAAGGCTCATCAGCGCTGCCCCGTCACGGGCTATGCCACGGAGCTGCAGCATCTTGTCAAACTGTACTCTCCTGAGAGCTGAAAGGAGAGATCCGTCCCTGCAGGTAGCAGCTGGGTAAGCACTGAGCCTAAATTCTCCCCTCTTTGTGTCCCATGAAAGACTTTGGACCACTACAGCTCATAGTGAGCTCTAAAGCTGCTTTGAACTTGGCGATACATCCGTTTTGCTGCCCTTGTGACTTCTGGTAAGGCTCTCCCCTTTATTCAAGCATCCCGTGATGGTCTCAGAGGGACTGGACAGCCCCAGTCTGTCAGCCAGCACAGAAACGCCTTCAGAGACCAACCAAAAGGGAAGAAACATTGATTTAGATTAAGAAGAATGTAGATCAAAGACCATCACTAGTAAATTCCCCACTCGGGCATGAATCAGCAAATTAAAGAGGTAGGGAAACTTCTCCAGGCGAGTTGCTGCTCCCTCAGCAGCTTCCCAGCACTAGTGCTTGTCACAGAGGTAGAGACAGACTCAAACCTCTGCTCTGATCGTGCTGTTCTTCATCATCTCCCTGATTTTTCAGGCTTCTTGCCTTTGAATTGAGAACATCACCCCCCTAATTCCCACTGACAGTTCTAACTGAAGGGTTTGACTCTTTAAAGGAAGAAAAGTTGATATGTGTGAACATGGAGACGAGAGGGACGTTACATTTGTGCACATGGGAGAAAAATGACAAACCAGAGCAAAGCATCAACTGTGCCAACTGATGGGAATTGGCTTTTTGTTAAGTAAGTCTTTGCATCTGTTATTATCTGCTTTTATAAAGCAAAATTCTCTCTTGATTGAGAACCTAAACTTAATTCTTTTCTGGTTATTGGGAAAACAGAGGAGCTCTGTTTACGTAAGGGAGACGGACCAATGTAGCTCTCATCTTTGCAGATGATGGTAACGAATAGGAGTATTTGAGAGGCTGACAATCTTTAATGTCTGTGTTTAATTATTACATGCCAATTACTCCAGTCCCAACCATGTAACACATTCACATCAAAGCAAAGCATCCTTTTGCTGAGCAGAGGGGAGAATGTTGGGGCTGGTTCCTGTGACATCCGGGTTTGTGATGGAAGGAGTTTTCCTGACTAGGCTCTAGGGAGCAGCAGTCAGCTTCTCCACACGCACCAGGCCGTCCATTGCAGAACACGAAGAGGAAAGTTTCCTGCACAAAGTACAGGGTCTTTCCATATTAAGTGATATGTTCTAACATTTAATCCACTGAGCCAGGTCAGCTCATTTTCCCCCCCTTTTTAGCTTTGCTTCAGAAGATAAAAATCTCCAGTATCCTGCCTCACCTGTAAGCAAGATAGCAGGTTATTGGGTAACATGGAAAAACACAGCAATTTGTATCCTCTCAAAGATGCTCTGGAAAACACCTGCTGTAACAAGTGAGATTTGTCACTTGTCTTACTATCTATATACAACTTCCAGACCCTTCTACCTGTGCCACTACGGAATAAGAATAAAAACTGCCTCATTTTAACTTTAGTAGTTAATGGATCCTTAAAAATACCTCTCTCTTTAAAAAGCCAGGAAGAGCACATGCATCTTACTGGAAAAGAAATCACAGCAAGGGGCAAGATTTTCTGAGACTTCAAATCACTTTTAATGTAGCTGGCTTTGAGCTGGATGTTAATTCACATCACTTGCTTCATACAGAGAAATCATCATCTATGTGAAAAAACAGCATCTAAACCACTCCTCGTGTGCTGTGTGGTCTTGTAAGTACCCATCTGGTCAGACAGACCATCTGACTGTCCTGGAGACTGAGGGCAGCCACTCATTTACATAAGGGATGAAGGATTTGACTGATGATTCAGTTTTAGGATAGGTTTAATTTCCTTTTATCCTTCCTATACTTTCCAAATTAAGCACAACCCAAGTGGCTGCGTGCACACGCTGCCCCTTGGACACCTCCTTCTCCAAGGGTTAATCTCCTTCCTTCTCCCCAGAGTGGATGCCCCTCCACCAGGCCCTGGCTGCTTCCACTCCACCTCACACCACACAACACCCTGTCCCTGCCAGACCAACTCCACAGCAGCTCCAAGACCTGCACAGAACCACCCACATCTAAGCCCCACAGTTCTGAACAGCTGTAATCACTCTTCAGTATTAAATTGCTTTTTAATGCCTATCTGACTAACAGGCATGAAGCCCTCAACAGTGACAGGCTCAGCAGTTACCTGGCAGATTTTATTAGTGTTCCTGCAGAATACCAACTTAGGTTTGACTGCTTCTTCTAACTCTCCTGTTCTTAGGAGCCAAATACATACCCTTTTATCAGGTTTATTGCTCTAAAATAAAGCTACAAACCAGCTTGGGTTATATAAATATTCCCTTTTATGTGCTTTTTAAATGTAATAGTGTTATTGAAGCCATGATGGCCTAAAGATAGACAAGATTTTTTAGGGAATAGCAACTTTATTAAACCAGCCTTCAGTCTTACATACCACTTTGTGACTTCTATACAGGCACATATGTATACATTCAGGATGCTTTGTTCTGTGGCTTAATACAATTACATCAACATTAACAACAGCACTGGATGGAGGTGGCCAATATGTTACTGCCAGAACTTGACTGAAGCCTTTTAAAAAACATTTAGTGAACCTAAGCCACATTCACAATTCATGCAGACACTTAAGAAATGAGTGCATTAGCAACTGAGTTGCTTTCCCCTCTTCCTTACAGAAACCACATTGCTTGTCCTGTTAGGAGAAACCCACCATAACTATGCTCCTCGGTATACACTCCCTGTAGAAGCTTCCTTCTCAACAGGAAGAGAGAAATGGATGTAGAGCCATCACCAAGACCTGGAAGAGATTAAAAACTTGGTTAGGGAATAGCTCCAGATCTTTTCCTGTACTTCCTTGATTAGTCCAGCCTTTCCCCTACCACATCCTCCAGAGCAGAGCACCAGAGCCAGGCCCAACACCATAATTCTCTTCCAAAACCACTCCTCCTGGCAATCACTAGATGAGGGTACAGCTGAAAACAACTGCTAATGAGGTGCCTACAGGACAGACAGCTCAAACTCTGTTTTACAGAGTAAAATGCACTGCATTTACAAACAGAGAAGATACAGTGGCAGAGCATCTGGAGTTTCATGTGCCAAACTGCACACAGGCAAAACAAGAAACCTCTTGCTGCAAGCTCAGTTCTAAACCCAGCACTGCACCAAGATACACAAACACAAACAAGTGCTTGCACTTGCCAAATCAAGGTTTTGGGTTTTCTGCCAGTAAAATAAATGGCTACAAATTCTTAATATTTTACATTTTAAGATTCTTAGAGTTTGGGGTTTGGGTTTGAGTGTGTTTTTAGGGTGCATCAAAAAGTTTCAAGCAGCAAAGCTGTTCGCTCTAGATGAGCTCAGCCTAAATAAGCTCAGAGAGAAGATTACGTGATCATGCCCTGGTCAGAGCAAAGACGCAGAGTCTCAGCAATACCAGTTCAGACTATACTTCGCTCATCATTGCTTTGGGCAAGTGTTATTTCCATTCAATAAGAAGCTTGCTCCTAACTCAGAAACTAGAACAAAGGGTTTTTTTCCCCTGAAGGAAACACACACTCACACACCTCCCCACCGCCAAACACAGATTAACTTGGGGTTTGGGTTAATTCTTTTCAGGATCACACAGCTTTCTACAGGACGGAGTTTGCAGTAAGTTAAGAGCAACCCTTGAGAGATGAGACAGGCATGGCTGTTGTAAGAAATCAAGCCCCAAGGTGCTATTTCTGTCTTCACACAGCGGGATGGAGGAGGTACTCTGCACCATCAGTATGGATGTAGTCTCTCCATGAAGAGTTCCTGTGCATGACAAAGCCGTGTTGGTGGAGTAACACTGGCCAAACTCTTCCATTTCCCCTTCCCAAACACCACTAGCTAAACCAGCACCCTCCCTCTCTGTCCTCCTGACACACCTATCCACAATGCCACCCCACAAGGCATGAGAAACTCCAAATAAGCACTCATTAGAGCTTTAGCTAATCTGCAAGCACACAGCAGATAAAGTTTTAAGCTCATCCATTAATTAAGGGTGTGTTTTTCCTACTTATCATGACCTCCTGTTACAGACAAGAAGGGAAGAAAGCACATTTAGCAGGGGAGGAGGGTGACATGCTGACGGAATGGAGCTGGAGCTAGGGAAGACAGGACACGAGCTGGGATTCCAAGGTCAGGCCAGCCAGTACCAGGCAAAGCCAAGAGGCAAAATCCCCTCATGCCTATAAACGCTGCCGAATCCAGTGGCTCTCCAAGGGTCATGGGGCCTATTTCGACCTAACCACCCATTTCCCACCTCCCTCCGTGCACTCTCTCCCAGGCCCTTGCAGCTCTTCAGTCCCCCGCCCCTTTG